ACAGGAGGCAGATCAATGATTCTCTCTCATCACTGATCTCTCTCTCTCTCTCCTTCTTTCTTCTCTGAAATCAATAAAAATATGTTAAAAAAAAAGAAGAAACCGACTCTGAGTCACCTAGTCGGTGGAAGCAGGAAACCCAACTGCAGTCGTACCGGAACCCTTGCAGTTCTGTTATTTAGGACTCCACACCCACCTCCAACACTTGTCCCTAGTCCCTGCCAGGTTTTGGAGGTATTTGTTCCCGGCTCCTAGTGCAGCCCTGCGGCCAAATCTCTGGGTATGCCCCTGCGGTGGGTGCCCCAGAGCGGGAACAGAGCCTGGCACAGCGGGTGTGTTCATTTGTGAAACGGGTGACCTGAACAAATCCATCAACAGCGTGTCTAGCATTAATCATCTACTTATTGGCCCATCGACCGTCAAGGGTGGTACTGTGCTTATCTCTGTGAGCCCAGCACCTCGCCAGAGGCCAGGCACAGAGTAAGTTTTTGGTGAATGAGTGGATGGAAGCAGCCTGGCACTCCTTAGCTGTGCCTGGTCTTCTCTGCCTTCCTTTCTGCCCGGCCCCCCCCACCCCCCACACACACCAAGGAGCCACTACAGAGCAGGTCAGAGGCAGGTGAGGTAGCACATGCCTTCCCACTGGCTGGGGCACCCAGCTCCGCCACTGTCTGTAAGTGGCCCCTGGACGTGGGAGAAGAGATCAGGACCGCTTCCCTGCGCTTGGTGAAGGTAGGATCCAGACAGCGATTGGATTGAGGGACGGGACGTTCTCCTGGGGACCGAGGGCAGCGAGCTGTTTACAAAGGTGGGAGCGGAGCTGGGCGGGGAGGCTGAGCGGTCCAGCTGAGGGAGGAAAGCCTAGGCCCGGAAGGTGGCAGGGACCCGCGAGGCTGCAGCCCGATGGCGCTGGGCAGGTCGGAGAAAGGGGCTGAGAAAGCCGGGATTCCCTCCTAGCGCCAAAGCCCGGAACTGCAGCGGGGTCTTGGAAGGGGAGGCTTGTGTTCAGCGAGGCCAATCCACACCCCGCTGGTCTCCAGCAC